CCCTTTGGGCGGGGGGCTGCCACGTGGCCCCTGCCGTCCTCAGCAGCCACCCCGCAGCAGGATGGCAGCTCCAGGAGGGGATCAGCCACCCGCACCCCCAGCACAGGAGGCCCCCAGGGCCAAAAAAAGAAGGGCCCCATCCTGCTCCTTGGGGGAGCTGGAAGCCCTCCTGGACCTCTGGCAGGAGGAGGAGACCCTGCATGAGACCTGCTTCTGGTGCTGGAACGCAGAGATCTTTGCCCACATGGCCCAGGCGCTCACCCAGCAGGGCCATCCAGCCCGGACCCTGGAGGCAAGTCCGGGCTAAAGTCAAAGAACTGCACCAGGGTTACGTCCAGGCCAGCGAGGGTCAGGGGGCAGGAGCCAACACCTGCCCCCATTACCAACGGCTCCATGCCATCCTGGGCCAGCCAGCACCGCAGGCACTGGACGTCCCCGTGGACAGCAGAATGCTTTAAGGCTTTAAGGGGGCTCAGGTTACCAGGAAGTCCGGGAGCTGATTGTGTCTATGGAGCCTCCAAGCGTCCACTAGGGCTTTTTCCCGTTTAGCCTGCTTTTGTGCAAAACCTCTTAGCTGCCTGTCTACACTGGCCCTTTTGTGCAAAAACATTTCCGTGAGAGGGCTTTTTCCCGAACGGGAGCGTCAAAGCATTTGCGCAAGAAGCACTGATTTTGGACAGTAGAATGTCAGTGCTTTTGCGCGAAATCAAGCGGCCAGTGTAGACAGCTGGCAAGTTTTTGCGCAGAAGCGGACGCTTTTGCGCAAAATCTTGCCAGTCTAGATGCTCCCCTTGAGTGATGGAGATTCCACACACTCTCTATGCAATTTATTCCAGTGTTTTTGTAGCCCACACACCTAGGCTATGTCTAGACTGCAGAGTTTTTGCGCAAAAACTCATGGAGCGTTCACACTACAAGCACGTTTTTGCGCAAGAAAATTTACAGTACATTGTAAGAAGAAAGGGCTTTTTGCACAAGAGTTATTCCTCTTTCTACAGGGAATAAGCCTTTTTGCGCAAGAGCTTTTGAGCAAAAAGGTGTGTGTGGACAGCAAGCAGGGGTTTCTTGTGCAAAAACAGAAAAAGCACAGATGCTCTAATGGCCATTCTGTTAATGGCAATTAGAGTTTTCTTGCGCAACAGTGTCCATGCAGTGTGAACGCTGTCTTGCACAACAAGTTTTTGTGGAAGATCTCTTCCGCAAAAAGGTTTTTGCGCAAGAAGCCTATAGTGTAGACGTAGCTCCAGTTTGGTCCACTGTCCCATGTAGTGGCTCGCAGACCACAGCAACAGATAAGAACAAAAGACCTCTACAGCAAGGGCTGAGAAGCCCCTTTTTAGTACAAGCTGTAGAGGCTCCTATGTTAAGCTTTAAAGGCCCCGGCTACGTCTACACTGGCCCCTTTTCCGGAAGGGGCATGTTAATTTCAGCGATCGCAATAGGGAAATCCGCGGGGGATTTAAATATCCCCCGCGGCATTTAAATAAAAATGTCCGTCGCTTTTTTCCGGCTTTAGAAAAGCCGGAAAAGAGCATCTACACTGGCCCCGATCCTCTGGAAAAAGCACCCTTTTCCGGAGGATCTTATTCCTACTTAGGAAGATCCTCCAGAAGATCCTCCGGAAAAGGGCGCTTTTTCCGGAGGATCGGGGCCAGTGTAGACGCTCTTTTCCGGCTTTTCTAAAAGCCGGAAAAAAGCGGCGGACATTTTTATTTAAATGCCGCGGGGGATATTTAAATCCCCCGCGGATTTCCCTATTGCGATCGCTGAAATTAACATGCCCCTTCCGGAAAAGGGGCCAGTGTAGACGTAGCCCCCAGGTTCAAATCTGTCCAGTGGTGGTTACATTTAACCACCCTAACAGCTAGGAATTTTTTCCTAGTGTTCAGCCTCCCTTGCTGCAGTTTAAGCCCATTGCTTCTTGTCCTATCATCAGAGGCCAAGAAAAACAATCCTCCCCCCACCTGTGATACCCTTTTTAATACCTGAAAACTGCTATCAAGTCCCCTCTCAGTCTTCTCTTTTCCAAACTCAACAAGCCCAGTTCCTTCAGCCTTCCCTCATAGCTCATTTTTTGTAGACCTTTAATCATTTTTTGTTGCTCTTCTCTGGACCTTCTCCAATTTCTCCACATTTTTCTTGACATGTGGTTCCCTGAACTGGGCACAATACTCCAACTGAGGCCTAATCAGAGCAGAGTAGAGCAGAAGAATGACTTCTTGTGTCACTCCTGTTAATGCATCCATTTGTCTGAACAAACAAATGAACAAACTCTTTAAAATATATAGTAGATGAGAGAAAGTAAATGATGCATATTTAAATGTCAAGAGTACTTAGAGCCCACAGTATAAAAGAGGCATGTTCAAGTAATATGTTAGGTTTCTTATTTTCAAAGTAAATAATGTCAAATTATTATATTATAGGCCATTACAGACATTCAGTCCCATGCTAAATGTTTTCCTAGCAGTGTCGTCTCTATGATCTCATTCAACATTTACTAGCTCTGAATTACATTTGCAATAGAATATAGAAAATGCTCCCTAAGGTAGAATTAATTGTGAAAATGAATCCTAATAGCTTAACCCAGTTCATATTGATTTTATCTCAGATCTCTTTTATGTTGCAAGAATCAAACGGAAATCCATGCAGTGTCCTTGTTTCCATAATTGCCAGAATACAGGTTGCCCTGGAGATATGATGTCACATTTGTAAAAGTGGACTACAGCTATTTCAGCCACATTGTCCTTGATAGATCCAGCTGGTAAAATTCTTTCGGGATCTATTTTGAGTGGATTATAGAGAGAGAACACCCACAAATAGATCCAGCAAAATATCTGTAAACATGTGAAGCTACTGTAAATTAAGTATTTTGTACTTAAAGATCAGAGAGATCACTTTAAAGGCTGACTCCCTATTCTTCTCAGAGTGGCATTAGGAAACACATAGTCATGTTTTCAAGCAGCACCAAGAAATGTATATTGCATATTAAAAGGAAAGCAAACAAGTAAAACCTTTAGCCTTACAAAAGCATGCAGTACTATATAATTTATAACACCCTGAGCACATTTGAGACAAATGGTTAAAATAATTCTTAAATTAAATACTTCAAATAAATGCCTAAATTATGCATTCTTTGAACACTGGTGGAAATGGAAAGTAAAACAAGTCAGTTACACGGTATTACACTTGGGTTGCCAAGATTCTTTGGAGGCATGTGTACCTTCCAGCAAAGCAAAACATTATTTTCCCTGTCACATATAGAATTGAGCATGCCCATCAATGCAATGTACGGTTACGCTGTCACGCAAGGGATCCAATTTCACAAGGATTATGAGAGTTGAAGGACAAAATCAGGGCACACATGATGCTAACGGATGCAGCCTCAGGATAAGTAAATACAGTTCATCTCTCTCACTGCAGTACTCAACAGCAACTGATCCAGAAAGTGGAATGAGGACAGCACAGAATCTAGGAATACTGACTTTGTTGCTATATAGATAATGCTTCTTTGCTTGGAAATGGGGACTTCTAGTGGAATGGTCATATGATACGGGGTGTGGCTTGGTGGACCCTTAAAAGAACCTCAAAAAATAGGCTCCATGCTGGCTCTGTGCCATGTTAGAGGGGACTGATGTGGGGGAGAGCAAATAACTCCATATGTAGACCCTGTCTGAGAACTGCTGCAGAAAAAGAAAAAGGCTGCTTAAGGGCTGCACAGCATCGCCACAGGGTAGAGTCTGTGCTCCAAACCCGTATGGAGCTTTCTTATTCCATCTACAGGGTCCATATGAGGCATTTGTGAATTTCACCATACAAAAAGACATCAAGAGATAAATATAAGAAGAAAAAAATAAAAGGAAAAAAGATGCACTGAGCAAAATAGAAACTGTCTGGGAAAGAGGAACCCTTTCTAGCATGTTAATTGTTGTAATTTGTGGTGAATATGTCAGTGTGTGTCTCTGCTCAGTCCACAAAGGACCGGTGCCTGTTACAGTGCTGCCACTCTGACCGTGAGATACATGTAAAGATCTATACACTCACCTCAGAGACTGGAAGGTTACCTCCCGGTGCTGAAGCAGCACTGTTCTAATAGAATACTTCATAATTAATTTCTCAAAGCTTGTTCAATTAATTGGAATACATAAATGTAAATGAAAAGTTCTGTTTAGAATTTACAACTGCTGTGAATGTTAATTATACAGTATATTTACAGAAAGGGTAATTCAGTGTGACAATATACTCACACTCTCCTCTGAGCCTACCCCGTAATAATTAATAATACTATTTACTTTAATAATAGCTTATAGCAATGTTATAAATTTGCACTTGAAGTTAATGAGTAGGAAGGGTAATCATTAAACAAGTATGGAAGACTAATTTACAAAACATGTCAAAAGCGCCCCTACAAGTGGTGAGCCTAGGTGGCTACCTCTGATCTGCTTATTCATACAAACAGCAACAAAAAACTACACCTACAAACGGTACCCACAGTCATGTAAGCACATGCTCAGACTGCTGTTATCCAGTTCTCCCTGAATCTTTTATGGCTCATTTTAAACTAAGATTCTAATCCCTTTGGAGCAAGGACTGTATTTGATTATATATAAATATATGTATTCTGTAAGGCCTGCTACAATGGGGCACTGACTTGGCAGGGGTCTTTGGATTATTGTTTAATTACATATTGTGCAGTGGCAGCACCTAGATCCTCTGCCCCATTGTGCTAGATGCTGTACAAACATAAAGAAGCTGGTCCTTGTTCTGAAGTATAGTCTAGGTTACGTGGTGTAATAGAAATAATGAACAACAAAGGTAACAATGGCTTTTGAGGCTCAGTGTGAGCAAGTTTTCAGTGTATCTGTTCATTTTACACTTGTTCTGTGAGTTGGATAATTTTTCTTATCTATAAATGGTAATTTTTCTAACAGACAAAATAAGTCTTTTAATGAAGGTCAGGCATGAGTGACCTGGTAGAAATGCAGAATGAGTTCAAACCTCCAATACCATCCCAACCGTGAATGCGACAGCATTAAATCTATAGACAGAAGCTGAGAGAGAAGAAGTATCTTAAGGGAAATAAAGTAGACAAAGATAAGAAAACTGAAAGTGAAAGAACTTCGTCCAGAAAGACTGAAGTACAATGGAAAATGGTTGTCCAAATGGAAGCAGGAAGGAGAGTGAAACACATACAAAATAAAACCACTAGTAGATCATAGCTAAAAAGGAGTGTCATCAGATATTGAGCTTGTCCATGAAGTCCATTTACAAATAAAACATAGATTAAAAAAAATCTGTTCTCCAAGTGGACAAACTAAGTCCCTAAATTGATAGGACCCTAAATAGCAGACCCATAGGAAGAACAGATTCCTTTTCAAGCATGGATGCCAGAATAATTTGGCTGAAGACTGACTGGCAAATTTATAAGTGTCCATTTTACAGTGTCTTTTAAAAGTAGCTTTGGAACACCAAACTGCAGCAACACAGATCTATTCCAGTGACGTGTTATCCTGGCTAAAAAAATAACAAGGCTGAGTGAGTGAGCCTTGACCCCTTAGTTGGCAAAACTTACTTTGGACTGTGCAAGGGACAGTTGGTTGAAAAATGAAAAAATATTTTCCAAAGATTTCCCCCAAGGTCACAGTCATCCTAGTAATAGACCAAGCAGATAAATGACTATAGTACTGGGAAGCTCTTGTCATTCATATAAAATGATTAACGATGTCTGTTGTGCACCATCAGGTTCAGAGGCACATTTTCAGTGGGAGCATAAGAAGGGTCCACAGTTAGATTTTACTAGCAAAATTGATAATGGGTTTAAATCTTGTTTCTTTTTGATGTTGCTAGGTTCTTGGGTTTAGATCAAGCAGAGAAGATAACATCTAGAGTAAGCTCAAGCTGCTAAGAAAACATTAGCAATTGAAAACAAGCTGTGTGGGAATAAAAGAAAGTTTGTGTACTTTTTTTAAATCTGCTTGATCCACATGCCCATGGACAACAATGCTATGTTCTATATCAACTGGAGCTGTGGCTGCAGATTTTATCTATCTCAGGGCCTGCTGCTGACAGCAGTTGGTGGTTTAATCTAATAAAACCCATCCAGGTCAGGCTGCATTATCTTATTGTAAGAATTCTCACTTGACCTTTTCCAGCCAGGACCTTCACTTGAACTGTAATAAAGGCCTAACTGGGGAAAGGGAGTGAAGGAAACTTTTAGATGAATGTGTCGGCGCTCAACATTCCTGTTGACAAGGCTGTATGAGATATGTGAGATTGAACTGCTGAAAGGAGCCACGAAGCTTACTCAGAATTATATAAATCTGAAAAAAAAATCCACTGATTTTTCAGGCCTGAAACTGACCTTGTTCATGAAGAAAGGACTTAGTTTCCAGTGAAGCTGTCTTAGGAACTTTAATAATCTTAAATTAAATTCCACTGGGAAAATATAAACAGAGACCAAGTCATGAAACGTTGCTTACATATTTCTAATGATCCCTTTGCCACAAACTTTTCAGTCCACCCAGCATATAGGAAGGAGGAGCAGAGAGTCAAGAAATATACAAAATAGAAAAGAAACATCCCCTCTCCAATATGTCACTATTCTCTGATTTCTTGTCTCTTAAAAAGGCATGCCCACAGCTAAAGCCTAAACTGCTTTTTATTGACTTCTTGGTGCCTGACAACTGCTTGATTACTAAGTGGCATATGATGCCCTCGGCTGCGTAGTGCAATGAGATATCAGTGTGATCAGAAAAGGTGGAGGAATGGGCATATAGGCCTGGTAGCTGGAGTTGACATATCTTAAATTGAGTTTCTGCACTATACACACAGCAGGAGGCAGACAAGAAAAAATGTTCCCATTGGCTTCACTTAATCTTCATGAGGAGCAGGAGTACCGGCACTGAAGGGGTGTCCTCTGAGTTCAATTTAGTGGGTCTTCATTTGACCTGCTATATCGAACCTGAGCGTCAATCTTCCATGTAGTGTAGACATGGCCATAGAGACGTAAGAAGGCTTTGAAAATACTTCTCCATTGTGTAGACCCCCAGGGGCTTTACTGCAGAAGCTCAGCTTCATGAAGCTGCTAGGAACGTGGCCCAGGAGGGAGAGGAGTGAAGAAAAAGAGCAGCTCTGCATTCAGGGAAGTATAATCGATGATGCAGCTTACACCGGAAGTTACTGTTGCTCTGAGAGAAGCAATTACTCTTTTCAGGGCTTTTTTAAACTATAGAGGTCTGGGAATAAGGGAGGTAGAAAGCAGCAATCAGATGATGGAGCCATGTTGCTATTATAATTCAGAAAGATTTGGGGCTGTTGTGCAAAGGTGGCCTTGTTCCCATAAATCTTTGCTTCCTATGAGACCTTTCCTATGCAGCCTTTCTTCTGGCTCTTTAAATTCTGCTGCTAGTCTCACCTCGCATAGGGGAACAAGGCTTCCCAACAACTTCCCTTATGATAAGTCTACTTCTTCCTCAGCTCTTAGCAGGTGAAGGAAAGGGTTGAGGCCTACTGTCAGGAGAGTAAGATGTCAGGCAATGCTAACCAGTTACTGAATGGTTATTACCCATGGATAAGAGTCACTGCCTCAGTTTCTGATTGATATGAAGCCAATCTGTGTGCCAAAGTTAGTGCCATCACGAACGTGAGAGTAAAATTTATCAGGGTGACATGCTGTGCAGAAAGGGACAGAATCATCTTGTATGTTCCAAGGTAGAATCCCTCCAGTCTCAAGAAGAATTCTTTAAAAAAAGAAAGAAAAAGAAAGGATGAACATTTTATCATATGGCCTGTTCCTTAAGCCAGCGTGTTACTGATATTCTAAAACTGCCTAAGGTATCATTGTAAGACAAACTGTGCTAATACCATTTTTTTAGACTAAGTGGTTTTGCTCAGTCTTTAGGACATGTATTTAAGCATGAACATGTTTACAGAACAAAGAAGCTACACTTACAGCACAAAATAGCTGAAACAGAGAAACATTTTAAGCTAGTAGAGTTGGTTCTGTCCTGACTTGCTTCTAGGGGAAACATGATACTTTGGCAACACATATGAAGCATAACAAAACTTTGCTTGTAGTGTTGTTATCCAGGAAAACTCAGTTCAGTATGTGGTGTTCTTGGAAGCTGTGGGAAATTTTTTTTGTCCTTCTCACCTAGTTTTTCAAGTGGAGTTCAGCAGTGCACAAGGAAAGCATAGATGTTGCTTAGGTTCTGCAACAGTCACATGAAATCCAGAGGATCCTCAATGTCTACCCGGGAGGATCACACTATATATTAGTGACTAATTAGAATTAGGACTTAAATTTCTTCAGAGCTATAGTCTTTTGCCCTTATCCTTAAGCTACTTAGCACAACAAATTGCAGCATAGAAAAACATACATCAGACTTACCGTGTTGCCCTTCTAATGTCAATATAGGGAGTTGGAGATTCAAACTGTCTGACACATTTTGGATCAAGGCTGTAAAATTCCTTTGCTGATTCCTGAGGAAGTGTAAAGCAGCATGGTCCAACAGAAGGGCCCAGCACCACAAGTATATCCTTAACATTACAGCCATATTCTGTTATCATAGCATTTACTGTAGCCATACTAACGCCTAATAAAGTACCTTGCCATCCTGAAAAAAAAATTAGGCGAAAAAAATCCTGTAAAATTATTTTTAAATTGAATTGCTACAGAAAAGTATTATTATTAAAGATCTCTAAGTTAAATACATGGAGGAATAATAGGGTTGCCAGATGGTTTCAACAAAAATACCGGACACACTTGACATTACATCACAATCTACATTACATCTTATTTAGAAAACACCGGACATTTGTATTTTCTCATTTATATTTTCTCAATTTGTTTCCCAAACAAAAAGCTCAAATACTGGACTGTCCAGTTCAAAACAGGACACCTGGCAACCCTAAGGAATAATTAGCATTTAGCAAACATTAATGGTCCTCCTACAAATTAGCGATATTACCATTGTAGAGATAGAGAAACTGAAGAAGAAAAGAGCCCCAGAACAGAGAAAGTTCATATTACAAGCAGACTTCGAACTTGTGAATGTGTTATGCTCAGCAATGGCTTTAGGCCATTCAACTACACCTCACTGTTTACTTCGCACTGCAACTCATGGGTTAAATACTTTAAAGGTTTCTTTACACTCTCACATGAACATGACAGCACTGGGGAAAATATTATTTAAAGAACGGAAAACAACATTTTATTTTTAAAAATCTCCTTATCTGTGCTGTTTGTCTGAAGCAAATACAAACGGTGCTGCAGGCCAGGAATGTTTGGACTGCAAGGAAGAAAGCCCAGATGTGACAGAGGTCAAGACAGGCTTTTCCCAGAGTTGAATGGGCCTTAAAGTAGAGCTTAAGATATTTTGTTTCTTTTCTCCCCTCCTTTACTGTGACCTCTGGCTACAATCTGGGTCACAGAACTGTATTTACATCTCTACAGAGCAAGGTTTAAAGCTATTTTAAAATATTTATCAAAATAATTTGACCTGTTACTAACTCCAGACGGGCATCTGGGGAGCAACAGGAGGAGATGGGGGAGTGAAAATGTGACTGATCAGGGACATAATAAGAGTTCAAGGCATGTAGATTTAGGGAGCAGTGGCATGTTACCTGGTTTTGTAATGAAAGGGTAAAGCAGATGGAGGAGATGCATGGAGAGAGCACAGGAGACTGGCAGAGAATGGACCAGGTAGAACAGCTTGGGGACTAGGGAAGGGGGTAGCGCCCCCTAGATCAATCTAAGGAGGCTAATGAGGGTGACCAAAATTGCAAATGAAGTGCGGGATTTAAATATCCCATGCTTGATTTGTGTGTTCCCCGCCGGTCGCCATTTTAGAAATTGACTAGCCCGAAGTAACTGCTTGCGTCTACACGCGGCAGTGAAACGGGATTCTGAAATAAAGCCCTAACTCGAATTAGCTGGTATTCTTCCTGTAATGAGGTTTACCAGCTAATTCGAGTTAGGGCTTTATTTTGGAATCCCATTTCACTGCCACATGTAATCGCGGGCAGTTACTTCGGGCTAGTCAATTTCTAAAATGGCGACCGGCGGGGAACACACAAATCAAGCATGGGATATTTAAATCCCGCACTTCATTTGCAATTTTGGTCACCCTCATTAGCCTCCTTAGATTGATCTAGGGGGCTAGTGTAGACATACCCTGAGAGTGGACATAGAAAGGGACAGAACAATGCACAAACTCCTATCTACATTAAATTTGAACATATAACCTTTATAGCTATAACCTCTTAACATTTTCAATGTGGATAGAAGCCTCCCTTTTATCTCCCCTTTGTTCCCATCACCACCTTCTGCCACCATGCAAAACCCCACTATACCTCCCTATGCACATAGTCTCACGGACCTCCTAATAGCTGTTAGCTGGACCACCAGCAGAAGCTGATTGAAAGATTTGCTGCTCACACCAAACACTGGGTAAGTCATGACCACAAACCTCATTAGAAACAGTTAAAATTGCAAATGTGTTTGAGTAGAGTCCAGCTAACTCCCCAATTATGATGTGCTCTTCAGAAGAATTCTAGATCTTTGAAAGGATGAGTTTATGAAGTCAGCCTATAATCTCACCCAACCGACTCTCAACTAACCCAACTTCACTGTTTGATTATTAATCCTGTTTACTATTCAAGGGATCAATTCCCAGTACTCTCTTAATATTATAGTATTTGATCATGTGAACTGAATATTAGATGCCCTACTACCAGAATGAGCAGCTCCGCATGCTTTTTTGACGGGATCAGCAAAAAGCACGGGTATGCAGTCAGCACCGGGAGCTGCTATCGTAACATCTTTCTGGTTCGTTACTATTCCATCAAAGCTGTGAGGTGGGGGCTTTCCCATAATCCAAACATCACTGGCATGATTGACCTGTCAGTACAAAGACACATGAAGCACAGACATAAAGCACTGAAAAAAAACATGAATTCCTACTTAGCTTAATGTCCTTTCTCTAACTCTCTTGTTCATATACTCTTGGAGCCAACCCTTCTGTGTAGAACTCTTTTCTTCTTGGTCAACAGACAAGCCCTCTTTGCCTTCAGATCCCTTCTTAAAACACACATCTTCCATGCATCCATCCACCCAATAAAGAAATGCATCTTTTAAATTAAAAGATATCCGCACCACTTTGATTTTGGACCTTTTTTCTGGACTTGTATTGTATTATATCATTGAGCTAACTATATGATCCGGGGAGGAGGATTAAGTCTTCCTCTCTATATTGTACCAGGTGTATTGATAGCTGCCATGGCAGTTTCATCACGATAAACCATCACAAAAACTGTCTTAAAAAGTTGTCCTACCACTTACAAGCTTTTGCTGGGCAAGATAAGACTAATGCATAGTTAAAAAATAAAACATTTGCTACACGAAGCAAGCTCTGATTAGTTAATATTGAAATCCACTGCTTTCTGATAACGTACCTTCACACTGTGAAATGTCTCCGGGTCAAAACCAGCAGCATTAGCTAACCTGCGTAGGTTTTCTTGAACCACAGCCTTTGGATCTCTCCGTTTGGAACTGCTGAAGAGATTGAAGGAGCTTAGAGTTGGAATATAAGAGATTCCCCCTGTTCTCGTGGTGAATCCATGAAGGAAGATGTTACCTGGTGAAGAGCAAGAATTGTTTGAAACAAATGAGAAACCTGAAAACTATACCAGACTCTGCCTGATCTACTGGTTGGTAACCACTGAAGTTCTGTTGTGCCCCCCTCTCTGCTCTGTGGTGGGAGGTGGGCACCTTGACGTTAGCTCCCCCTCCACTTCCTTCCTTGCCCTGCACAGAAAGCAGAGGCTCCTGAGGGGCAGCTCCAAGGCAAAGGGCAGGAGATGCGCAGCAGTCTGGGGGCAGCTGAAGTGCTGAGCTCAAAAACCTCTTGGCCAAACCAGGTAGGATCATCTGCCAGAGGCTCCAAGATCTACCAGTAGATCCTGATCTATTGGTTGGTAACCACTGAAGCTATGTGTACACGATGGGGTTTTTCTGGGATACCAGAGGTATGGGGAATATGTCTGCTCTTCTGCGTTTTTTTGCAGAAGAGCAGATGCACTCTTTCAGAAGCCCTGTCTTCCTCCTCCCATAAGGAAGAAGGGCTCTTCCTAAAAAGGAGGCTTTTCCAAAATTTGGCCCAGTGTAGATGGGCCAAATTTCAGAAAATCTTCTTCCAAAAAAATGATTGGAAAAAGGTATGCAAATTGTGGAGTGCAATGTCCTATAGATCACTGTAGTGTAGATATAGCCTCAGTTTCCACTCAGCTTAAACTCCTTTTGAAGTCAAGAGGAATTTGCCTGGATAACTACTGAGTAAAACTGAGTAAATGCTTATAAGGCCAGTAGGCTTTGGCCCATATTATTTAGATACATTGTAAGTATCCTTTATGTTACATTAGTTGTAATATTATGATCATGGTTTGAGATTATTTTATAGAAGAGCTAGAGAAAGGGCTAGCAGTTTAAAGCCAGTAATTAATCAGTTCCCTTAGTTTTCCCTACTTTAAAGATGGAGAAATTAAGGCACAAGAAGGTGAGTTATTGTAGAAATAAAGCAGTCAAGAGCCGCCCCCGGGCGCCCGGCGCGTGTGTGGCCCCGCCCCCGGGCGCCCGGGAGCCCGTAAAGGTTGGGGACCACTGGTGTAGACATAGCCTGAGTTAGAGTAAGAGGGGAGCATTGTGCTCTATGGTGCCACTCAGGGGTGTTTGTTTTTTCTCCATAGGAACCATTGCTACTGGCCCCTTTAGCAGAGATGGTGTCTCTGTTTTCTGCATCAGCATTAAAACTGAACACAAACTCTTATCCTATGTTATGCCATTCTGTAAGCCACCTTTGCTTCTTCCCAGTTCAGGACTGCCCTAGTGTGATTTAGACATCCTGTGGGTCTGGGCTGTTATTCAACAGTGCTTCTCAGAATCCCGAGTACTACAGGCCTAGCCTCTTTGGTCCCCTCTATATTTTCTGTGCCTGGACTTACAAGCAATCCATATGGCTTTACTACATGGTGTCTGCACTGGGCATTTCTCCCCTGGCTGGCTATACCAAAGCATACCAAAGCAGCAGAGATATCTTGGAGGTGAGAATTTCACTCCTACAATCTCATGTTGCTAACCTGCAAAGCTGTAGAATCCATAAACTGAAAATTGAATGAAATAGATGTAAAAAAAAATCCATAAAATCTGTTTTCTGGTGTACCTGGGATCAAGGAAGATTTTAGAATGTTAAGCTCCCCTTTCAGGCCTGGCAGACTTTCCAAGTAGATCTGAATCTCGCTCCTGATGAGTTTCACCTCCTGGGCAGGAAGTGTTTGAATGTCACACTGAAGTTCAGCTAGTTCTTGGAAGTTGTTTCCTTCACAAACCAGCCATAAATCCCCAAACTCAAACTGGTAAACAGCAGTGAATAGTTGGTCTATATACACGTCCATCAAGGCTTTCCTTTGTGGAGGTAAAATGATTTTAATGATGCTTAAATCCTTCTCATCTAGTTTTTGTTTAATGGTGTACAAGGCAGCAGCTGTACTTGTCATGCACACAACCTCAATTCCCTTCTTCAGAATCTGAAAACCACTGATGACTTTAAGTAATGAATCTTCTTCACTACTCCTTTCGCTTCTCGGAGTTTCGTAGCACATTATGTATACAAATGGAGCGCTGACTGAGTAGTGCTTTTCAATTGTTTTCAGTGTGCTACATAATAACTTCTGAATGCTGTTATTTTGTGAGTTCACTGGTAGGCTGAAGAGGTCAATTAATATTGCTTCTGCCATGTTCCAGATGATTAAAGGAGTCCTAAAAGCACCAGATATTGAATAAAATGCCTTCAAAGAAAAAGAGAACATTATTAGTCCATATAAGCAAAATTATGGCTTATTATTTGTTATTTAGTGGTTAGAGGAATTAATATACTGAAAAGTAATGTCATTTCAAATATATTTTCCATTGCATCCAATGTTCAGAGCAAAGGAAAACTAAAACAGATGGAAATTGTCCTGCTTGTGTTTAAATCTCCCTGCTGCATTCTTTTTCCCTTTCTCCAGATCTGAGATGTTAAAAGTATGGCCCCTTTTATAATCTGGCTTTCACAAACACATTTTAATGTCCTGGACTCCTTTCCACCCAAATATAGATTCTAAGGTGAACAGGAGGTCCAGCCCCATGAAGCAGTGTGGTGCCTCTCTGCTAATTGTGTGTTCTGGCAGACATTGCAACCTGAGGGGCCCCAAATGCAAATGACAAATGAAGAACATCTGTGGTTTTCCTCCTCACTTTTTTTCAAAGCTTGTGTGTCCCAGTCCTACTTGAACTCCCCCTATTGGACACTCGTCAGGTTGCTGTGTTTGTATCCCACCATGCTTCATTTGTGTACTCTGTAGCTTCCTAGGCTCCAGCACTGCTTTTTCTATCACCTGGCTAGCACAACTCCCACTTACAGGCTCTTTGCCTATTAGTGCTTTATGAATATAGGACTTCACAGGGCAGCTGCCCTAGATTCTCAAGGCCTGTGCAGAGCCCCCAAATATTCCTGTTGCTTAAACATACCTATTTCCAGAGCTTGGACATTCTGATTGACAGTTATCTCTTCAGAAACATGTGATAGCTGAAGCATATGCTGCAAAGATTTTGCAAAAGTGATTCTAAAACAATGGGTCTTTTCTTTAGGTGGCCTAAGAGATCTAATATTCAGATAAAACATCTCCATACCCTCCTCTGTCTCAGTTTCCTCAGCACTCTTAGGCCTGGCCTACACTAGAGCAGGAAGTATCTGGAATGAGAGGTATTCCAGATGCTTTCAACTCACCTAGCAACATAGTCAACCTATCCAACCACACTTTTAGCCCAGCAGAGGAATCAGACTTATCTCAAGGAGTCTCCTTCTGCCCCACCACCCCTTTGAATATGATTCAGTTCTGTGGAGATCTGGAAGCCTATTTTCATTGCCTCCACCTAAAGGAATATTTCTAACACACCAATGTACAACGTACTGATCTTGCTGCTCCCATCCCTTCCACCTCTCCCCCCACCAATCCCACAAGAAGAATGCTTCTATGTGGACCCCTACTAATGGTCGCAATGAGAGCCTGGACTTCTACATTGACTGCTTCCGCAAATGTGCTCAGGCTGACATTGTCAGCAAACATCATCATATAACATATAACCTCAGTCATGCAGAACGCAATGCTATACATAGCCTCAGAAACAAAGAGACTGACAAAGGGAGAACTTTAGTCTTGAATAGAGCAGATTATGAACAGGAGGTGACCAGACAACTCATCAACACCAGATTCTACAAGCCTTTCTCCTGTGATCCCACTAAAGAATACCAGAAAAAAATGGAAACAACTGCTCATGAAGCTCCCTGATGCTGCTAAGGGCCAAATTTACACTAACACCTCCTCCTAATCCATGACCAGGAGTTTTCTAGAAACCCCGACCCATCACCTCAAGCACTGGCACCCTTACAACAGGCTTATCTGGCTATATTGACTTTCTCCTCAGACCCTATGCTACCAAAACTCCTAGCTATCTTTGAAACACCACCGATTTCCTGAGGAAAATACAAAACATCAATAATCTTCCAGAAAATACCATCCTGGCCACCATGGATGTAGAAGGTCTTTACACCAACATCCCACATGAAGATGGATTATAGGCCACAACTACTTCCAATTTGGAAACAATTTGTATCTTCAAGTCAGCGGCACAGCCATGGATACCCGCATGGTCCCACAATATGCCAATATTATGGCTGTCCTTGAACAACATTTCCTCAGCTTTCGCCCCCTAGCAACCTTACTCTGCTTAGGCTACATTGATGACATCTTCATCATATGGACCCACAGGAAAGAGACCCTTGAAGAATTTCACTGGTATTTCAACAACTTCCACCATCAACCTGAGTCTGGACCAGTCTACCCGGAGATCCACTTCCTTGACACTACTGTACAATTAAATGATGGACAAATTTCCACCACCCTATATCAGAAACCTGCTGTCTGCTACACTTACCTTCATGCCTCCAGCTTCCATCCCAGACACATTTCTCAATTTATTGTATACAGGCAGGCCCTAAATTACAACTGGATTTGCTCCAGTCCCACAGACAGAGCCAAACACCTACAGGTTCTATAGAGAGCATACTTAAAACTCAAATACCCATTCAGAGAAGTGAAAAAACAGATTGACAAAGCCAAAAGAGCACCCAGACATGAACTACTTCAACACAGGCCCAAAAGAGAAAACAACAGAATTCTACTTGTCATCAGCTACAGGCCACAACTTAAACCTCTCCAATGCATTATCAACAATCTACAACCTATCCTGGAAAATGACCCTCAGAGGCCTTGAGGGAAAGGCCAATCCTTGCCTACAGACAACCCCTTAACCTCAAACAAGTTCTTTCCACTAACCACACAACATACCTCCATCATAATCATCCAGGAACCCACCCCTGCAATCAGCCCCAGTGCCAACTCTGCCCTCACATCTACACTAGCGATTTCATCACTGGACCCAACAATATCAACCACTACATCAGGGGCTTATTTATCTGCACATCCACTAATGTGATCTATGCCATCATGCCCCACTGCTTCTACGGGAAAGAATTAATGGACACAAATCAGATATCCAAAAAGGCAATACACAAAAACTTGTTGGAGAACACTTTAATGTTCAGGGTCCACTCTGTGTGGACATGCTAGTTCGAATTAGCAAAACGCTAATTCGAACTAGTTTTTTAGTCTAGATCCGTTAGTTCGAATTAGCTTAGTTCGAATTAACTAATTCGAACTAAATTAGTTCGAATTAACGTTGTAGTGTAGACGTACCACTAGTCTAGTAGAGGAATCTGTGCTATCGCAAGGACTCTCCTTCTGCCCCATCACACCTATGAAAATGATTCAGTTCTGTGGATATCTGGAAGCCTATTTTCACCGCTTCCATCTAAAAGAATATTTCCAACACACCACTGTACAACACACTGATCTTGCTGCTCCCTCCGAACAATCCCACAAGAGGAAGGCTTCTATGTGGACCCCTACTAATGGTCATAACAACAGTCTTGACTTATACTTCGATTGCTTTCGCAAACATGCATAGACTGACATTGTCAGCAAACAATAGTGTAGATGCTGCCAAGGTTTGGCTTAAGGTAAGCCGACTCCAGCTACGCATTTTGCCTTCCTGCTCTAGTTATTCAAGGTCAGTCATAAAGATGTTGGCATATTGTTGGCATATTGAATAACTAGAGCAGGAAGGCAAAATGCGTAGCTGGAGTCAAACCTTGGCAGCATCTACACTGTCTGAGGCTGATGGGCGCAAACTTTCCTGTTGGCTTACCTTAATCCTTGTAAAAAGGAGGAGTAATGGATGCTGGTGGGAGCTGTCTTTAGCATTCAATTTTCGGATCTACCCTAGACCCGCTAAATCGAACATCAGAAGATTAACCTCCAGAGCGTTGATCTTCCAGTAAGTATTGATATGCCCTTTTGGCTCAGGTCAAAGTATCCAGGGTATTTCCCTTTCTGTTCCTGCACAGCATTGTTTTCTGCTTCTGGTCTCCTCCCCCTCTTTCTAAAATAGCTATTGACAGTTCTCTTTTTATAAAGTTGCAGTTTCCTGTGTCATGTGAACTTGTCAGATGTTCAGATTCCACCATCAAGTGATCTTTTGTCTTAGGCTTCCTGGCAGAACGAGGTTTTCTTGGTTTGGCCACCTTTTTTCCAGGGTTTTTCCATTTAAACAGAAAACTAACCTTCCATTGCTAGTCCTGCATTATCACCCTTTGAAATTTCATTCCAAAAAGGAGATTAAAAAAACAGAGAAGCCAGACTAGCCTTACAATCAAAATGAAGTGTGCAGTTTGGCAAAGTTGCATGCACACAGGCTGCGTTTAGACTGGCAAGCTTTTCCGCAAAAGCACCTGCTTTTGAGGAAAAACTTGCCAGCTGTTTACACTGGCCGCTTGAATTTGCACAAGAACACTGACGATCTACTGTAAGATTGTTAGTGTTCTTGTGCAAATACTATGCTGCTCACGCTCAGGAAAAAGCCCTTTTGCACAAAACCTTTTGTGCAAGAGGGCCAGTGTAGACAGTTAAAAACTGTTTTGCGCAAAAAAGCCCCGATGGCGAAAATGGCGATCGGGGCTTTCTTGTGCAAAACCGCGTCTAGATTGGCATGGACGCTTTTCCGCAAAAAGTGCTTTTGCGCAAAAGCATCCGTACCAATCTAGACGCTCTTTTCTGCAAATGCTTTTAACTGAAAAACTTTTCCGTTCAAAGCATTTGTGGAAAATCATGCCAGTCTAGATGCAGCCACAGAGTTTATAACCTCAAACGGGATACATAAATGGTAGTAGACAGATTCCCCAAGTTGTCACATGGTGTCACAGAGATGCCCTGTACTCATTCTGTCTTCCATAGGGAACTGTCCTTTTGGTCCTTCTTTATTGCTGTTTCCCTCCAACTGATTTTAAAGTAACCCTGACTAAAAATGCTCGTTTTTCTTTGTGTACAGAATACATAACAAATTTCATTTGTACTATCAAATGCAGAGGACTTGACTGGTCTACTTGAATTAAGTTAGGACTCATGATCAAAACCTGACAGCCATTGATCATGTCTAGGAATATTATTACATACAACTGATGACACCTATTAGGGAAACCTGCCTGCTAGAGAAAATAGCAGGAATCGTCTTTATCCTGCTGCTCTCAATGGCAAGTGCCTAACCTCTTTACCTCTCAGAAGATCTCAGTTGAATTATAGACAAGATCATACCCCACAAAGGAAACAAGGGACAAGACAAGAAACTGCAACTCCCTCTTACATCAGTTATGTGAGGGAGAAAGGAAGGGTGAGGAAGAGGTCACTGATTTCCACATCCTCCTTCCTCCCCAAAGAAAACACCACCTGTAAAATAAGGAAGGGAGGATGCTTTTTGAAGGAAAAATGTCTGCCAGTATAGTCATTAAGATGTGCATTTATAGAAAGAAACCCACTAGGGTAATTATGAGACAGTGTGTGCATGAACATAATGAGGCTGATTCATTAGTGCATTTGGCCAGTTTTGCATCATACATCTTCATTGAAATCAATGTTGTTACATTGGCACTATTTTATTGCAAATGCAACATTTTTGTTTACATTAGTGGAATTGAATTACTGCTTCCTGAGATAGTCACAAAAATACTAGGTACTGCTTTTGGGCACAGAGTATGCCAAGCAAAGCACTATGTTACCTTCTCTAAAATGCATCATAGTTGCTAAAGTTTGAAATACCTAGTCCTGGGGGAATTATGCAATTGTATATGTGGAGACATAGGGTACGTCTAGACTACATGCCTCTGGCGACAGAGGCATGTAGATTAGACTACCCAGCATAGGAAAATGAAGCGGCGATTTAAATAATCGCTGCTTCATTTAAATTTACATGGGTGCCGCGCTGAGCCGATCAGCTGTTTGTCAGCTCAGCGCAAAAGGGCTGCCGCGCTGTGCCGATCTGCTGTTTGTCGGCACAGCGCTGTAGTCTGGACACTCTGTGGTCGACATCAAAGGCATTTGTAGACCTCTCTGTTATGCCTCGTGAGATGAGGTTTACCGGGGAGGTCGACAAATGCCTTTGATGTCGACCGCGAACCGTCCAGACTACTGCGCTGAGCTGCCAAACAGCTGATCGGCTCAGCGCGGCAGCCATGTAAATTTAAATGAAGCAGCGATTGTTTAAATCGCCGCTTCATTTTCCTATGCTGGGTAGTCTAATCTACATGCCTCTGTCGCCAGAGGCATGTAGTCTAGACGTACCCTAATAAAACTGCAGAATTCCTCCCAAGAGTGACATAACTTAGCTTCACAACCCATAGAACGTGAAACTACCAATAGCTTCAGCAGAAAATATTTACTAGAGAGGAGTTCATTGAAGTGCACAGTGCAGGTCTGTAAATTCATGAATGTTTGAAGATGAAATCTGAAAAGTCATTTTCTTCCACACACTCTGGGTACAGCTAGACTACAAGTTTTTGTCGGAAAACGGTATGCAAATGCACTTTGCATTTTACGTAACTTTTCTGATTCTTTTGTTGGAAGAGGCTTTTTCAACATTTGGTCCATCTAGACTGGGCCAAATGTCGGAAAAAAACCCTCTATCGGAAGCCCCCTTCTGCCTTGTAGAATGCATTTGCATTAGTATTGTGTGTCATAGCAAATCAGATATTATATGGTATCTTAAATAAAGTACAGAAAATAAATCAATAAAAAAAGTAGAAAATACCACCCAAAAAAGTGGAAGAGCAAATGTGGAAGAGCAAATGTCCCTGGACATAGCAGAGTTTTTTTGGGATACCTCCGGTATCCAGAAATTCCGCCCCCCAACCCTGTAGTCTAGCCATACCCCCTCTGAAACACTCAGAACACAAAGCTGGGTGATCAGCAGAACCTATGCTATGGACCCCATCCAAAGAACAGCCAGAAAGGATAAAATGGAGGGAGAGAAGGAACAGTGGAGAAAATGACTAGTATGGACAGATAGAAAAATGGAAAAGATGAGAGAACAGAAACATTAAATGAAAAAACACACAAGTGATGGAAAAAAGCCAGATCAGAATTAAAAAAATATCAAGAAGAAAATTTACCAAAAAATAAACTCAAATCTGAAAATGAAAATAAACTGAATATATTCCTAATTTTGGACAAGCATGGTCTGCCTCTTTCCCCACAATCACCTTTGGATCATCTCAATCACCCTCATTTTCTTTTCTGAAATGTAAACATGTATGTAAAGTTTTGAAAAGTGATAAAAAAAACCCCAGAAAGTATTGAAAATCTTATGTTAGAGGACAAATAAGTGAAGCCATGCATCAACTCCAGAAAAAATACAGAGGGTGTTTATAGTTCCACACAATATTTTTAATAAATCATTATGTATCAAGAAACAGAAAGCATGGAAATGTAGAAATCACTCTGAACTTAAGAATATTTATGTATGTTTTAAAAAAAAGCCAGAAGTTACCATTTACAAATAAAAAATACATACAGTTTCCATAAATAAATATAAGATCAAAGACCTAAGTTCAGGTGTTTACTTACAGCAGTGGACAATCCTTTTCCAGCTCCCAAGAGAGATCATACAAAACACCCGCATACTATCATGAACCTTATATATCTGCATAGTTGCAAATCCTGCAATCGATTTGTCCAAGATGGAAATTCCCTATTCAGGTGAAATGTGAGTGGGGGAAACCCGCCTCTCTTTTGCCCTAGGCCCTGAGTTGCTGCTGTCACTGTACACAGGAAATCCCAAAGTGTTCTTAAAGGCACAAACGTGATTAATTTCTAGGGTAATACAAAACCAGGAAGCAATGTTAACCCTGCCGTACTAGTTCTGGGCAGCAAACATGCATCTGCGAGCGACCTTCTTATGTATGCGCAGCTTCATATAGCCTCATAAATGGCAAGAGCTCAAAATTAAAAGATAAATACATGGAGAAGAAGGAAAGGAACCACAAAATATAAAGGAGTCCTTTTTGCCAAAGGGTGACTCCATGCTCTGCAAGAGGTTTGGTAGTAAATCAAGAAGAAAACAGCCACAAAAAGTGAACTGAAAATTACTCAAACAAAGAAGGGGACACAGGAACGGAGATGAGGAAGATTCTGCCTTAGAGGCCCTGAAACACATGAAATATTTTTAAAAGGCGTCACTAGAAACAGGAAGTGCTTTTTCATTTTCATGGGACCAGTAATTCCTGTAAGCCCTTAAGAAAAAATTAATTCATTGGTACATTAGCACGGTCACAAGAATAAACCATTTCCAGAGTTTGGTTTTGTGTCAGTGTTGGCAACCACTTTACAAATAAAGCTAAGTACATTTTTTATTAGTGTTGTGTATCACAACAAATCAGATATTATATGGTATCAGAAATAAAGTACAGAAAATAAAACAATCAAAAAAGTAGAAAATACTATAGGAACATCTGATGCAAGCACAGCAAAAGAGGAAAACAAAGTGTTAGAATATAAAAGGACTGAAATACAAAATGATCCAGAAAATATTATAATGACATGATATTAATTGATTTATCTCATCACCTGAAATATTTTGTTTTTCCGAAAAGAAAAAGAGTAATAGCGGATACAGTGTTATTTTATAAAATAATGAATAGTATTTGAAGGAAAATTAGGTCCTTCTGTTTTATAACCTAAGAACAAGGAGAAGCCAATGAAACTGATATTTGCAAGAGGTTACAATGATTACCATAAAATTTTAAAATTGATTTAAAAAATACATTTTAAGAAAATGAGTTAATTAAGCTAAAGTACTAGTTATCACTAGGCAACATGGAACCAAAGAGCTTACCGTGATTTTTTTAAAATATACATTCTTACAAATAATGATAACATCCGTTAAATTAACTAAGATACAAATTGTAGGACTATTAACCTTCACATTTGAGGGATGCAGTGACAGAAGCATGATCTTTTCCATTTTTTTGAATCACAAAAAAGTACCTTGCTTATAACTGGCAATGTCAAAGACTAATTAAAAAGATGTTTAAAATTAGAAATGGGTAGACCTTAGTGTTAGAAAAAGAAACAAAAACATTTCCCTAACCCCACCTTTTACACAAATTTTTAGACAATCAGGGTGAGATTCTGTGCTTTTCTTCTATGTATGTCTTCAAGGCAGAGTTAACTTGAACTCTTACTCAGACATTGTCCCTTATCCCGCTCTATCCGCACACAAAACCCCCTCATAAAAGTTTAGTGGTGGTTTGGCTAGCTGGTCCAGCTGGGGTTTAAGTTAGGGCCCATCTGTTTTCAGTACGCAAGCTCTAGTTGAGCTTGGGCTGATCTGCCTGCTTAAGCTGGAATTTCACAGCTAGCTTATAGTGCAGATGTGCCCTAAATTACAGCAACCCCCTAAAGCACAACTCCCTACGCTGTGCTGGTGAAAAGAGAGGAAGACAGTAGTACCAGGCCCCTAACACATCTGTATAAATAGACGGAAAAGTACACGAAAGGGGCCCAACTGACAGAGCCGAAACTAAGGTTTTCTGCACCTGGGCCAAGCTACTGAACTGTGCCACCCCTCTCCCCCACCCAAAAAAATGATAAAATTTTAAATTTTTTGTATTAATTTTATTCATTGCACATGTTATTAATTGCACATATATTGAGACTGAAAATAGATGATAGTAAAGATATAACTGAAATAATATTTTAACTTTCTAATTTTTAATTTTGCGCCCCTAAATGTACTGTGCCTGGGGCAAGTGTTCCACTTGCCCCACCCTTGTTATGGCTCTGCCAACTGAATATGATGTATCAGTCTCTCGTCTCCTAATCTCAGCCTCACTCCTAGGTTAGGGCTTCCGAAGGAATCCTGTAGCTATTCATATCCTCCTGCCTTGATACTCTGCCCCTCCCACACTCCCTTAAAAAAATTCATACACAATTTTTTTCGTCCTTTGCTGACACTTCCTTTTTAAAAAAATTTGGCTTTCCCTTCCACTTTTCTTCCTTGTCTGCCAGCGCATCCTGTCATGTCACCTCTCACGAGAGATGTGCTTTCTAAGTAAAACTAAGCCGCAGTCATGATCGTGCGATGGAACTCTAGTCAGGATTTTTTTTTTCAAATTATGACATTTGAGAGGTCTATCATAAGTGAGGATTAATTTTACTTAGAAATTGCTGTCGGCCCTGGGTGGCTGGGGCTCCCTACTGTAAGGGAAGTGGGAGAGGGGTCTCCTACTGCAGCCCCACAGGCCTGTGGAGTTGATGAACCCTAAGAAGAGAATGGATGAGGCTGGGAGAGTGGAACTATGACCTGTGGGTTACTGGGGGATGGAGCTGAAGTGAGGAGGGTGGGGATGGAAGGGGTGGAAGAGCTGTATTGATGGTGGGCTCTATGCAGATGGGGTAAGTTCTGGGAGAGTGAACTGAGGACAGTGGGGGTTGATAGAATCGGGGCACTGAGCTGATGGGGTGGTGAGGATGGGGACTGGGGGGGACTGAACTGATGGGAGTTTGGAGGACAGGGTTAATTGCTAGGCAGGAGACAGGCAGATGTGGGGATGCGCACACCTGCATCAAGGTTCAAAATGACCTTATCTAGTACATATGGAAGAACTGGCCATTCTAATTGTCACATGCACACATAGGGTTGCCAGGTGGTTTCAACAAAAATACCGGACACACTTGACATTACATCCCAATCTACATTACATCTTATTTCGAAAATACCAAACATTTATATTTTCTCAATTATATTTTCTCAATTTGTTTCCCGAACAGAAAACTCAAATACTGGAATGTCCGGTTCAAAACCGGACACCTGGCAACCCTATGCACACACCATCGGGCCGGGCTGGGAGGGGGCGTCAAAATCAAGAGACTGAGCTAAAAAAATGCAATAACATCTTTTTTTAAAATGTCAGGATTGTTTTGGACCAGTTCCAAGATTTCTGGGAGCCCGACTCTTGCTCTTTGATCTCTTCAAGCTGGCGATACCGTGACTTCCCCTTTCCCACCCTGTTGGCTCGCTCTCTTTCATAGACACTCCCTTCAGCTTTATTGATTCTTCTCTCTCGTGTTGCCCCTCTTTACAGACGCTCCCTGGACACAGCAGGGGCGGGCCCCCAGCACAGGTTTCCTGCCTGAGCAAGCAGGCCACTGCAGGCCCTGCCCAGGGCTGTGTGACACTCAGGGGGAGCCTGCTGCAGTTTCCTTTGCTTCCTGCCTCAACCCAAGGTGCACGGGGCTTGGATGCGGCACTGCAGGGGGAGCCTCTCTCCACTTTTGTTTGCAGCTTCAGTTTTAATGCCACAAGTGCTGGCCCTCACTCTGCTCCCTGGTGGAAGGGGGGGGGGGGGTTTGGGGTTCCCTTGTTGATTTGAACTCATACACCTTATTAGTTTCCTGGCACACTCCTCCCTATGAAGGGGCTCTCACAAAACCTTCCTCCAGGGCCATCAGTACCAGCACTAGGCATAGAGACTCAGCAATTGCCTAGGGCCCTGAGCAACTCAAGGGGGCCCCTTATTAATTATTGGTATGTAAGAGGAGGGTATAATATTCCTGATCAGAGTCCTTTGTGGGCTAGGATCGCCTCTGAGGTCAATACTAATTTGTGTTAGGCACTTACTGGATGATTTCTATATTAGAACTAACCCTGAGTCAAGCTCCATGGGCAACCCCTGCCTTTAAAGGCCCAAAATACAGCTCACGTTTCCACTTCAGCCGCTAGGGAGCAAAGGCCACACAGAGGGAATGTGAATCCCATACACTGTGGAACAGATCTGTTTAACCTCAGACTTTCACCAAGGGAATTTTTCAAGGCTGCAGAACTAGCAGTCCTAAGTATTACAAAACAAAACAAAAAACAACACCAACAAAAAAAACCCCACACATCAGGCCTCAAAGAATCAAAAGCTTGGGTTAATATTGTGAGCTTTTCTTTAAAAATAATAAATGTGTGGGTTCTTTATTTGCATGCTGGATCTTGCAGCTTTAGGGTTCATGTTTTCTCTGCAAATACCAGGGCCAGAGGGGTTTTTTTGTTGTGTTTTGTTTTGTTTTGTTTTAATGACTGACACAAGAACTGAAATTCTGACACAAGAAGATTACTTCAGAAGCTTGGGCTTTCTTTGAGCAAAACAAAATATCATGAGACTCATGGTACCATCCTGTGTGGTAATATTAAGACTTCTCCCACTATCTCAAGACTATTTAATACCACAGATATGCCATCTGCAGGAATTGCACCTGCCAAAATAATGTTGACTATAATAGAGGGTGAATTAAGAGAGTAGATAGGCCAAGAATTCAGGAGTCCCACTATTATTCAGTTTCATCTAGAGAAGCGGGCATAGTTGTTTTCCTGATTTAAAATAAATTAAAATGTACTTGAGCATTATCCCTGCCTCTCCCTTATCTCAAAACGAAAAATTATTTCAGAGGAAAAATCTCCACAGTTTTCTATTGTGGATACAAATGCTAGAAAATGGAGCATTCTTCAGTGGATCTTCTAATTGAGCTATTGCTCAATTGAGCATGGTCTACACACAGCATGTCTTCACAAAGCCAAAACTATATGGGGAGAAAAGCAGCTGTTCACATCCAGTACTCCTCACAGCCCCATCTCCTGGCTCAATTATGGGCAGGGGACTGCAGTTTAGGGACTCTTAATACATGCCCTTTTCATGTACATTTTTTCCAGTGCACTCAGCATTTAGCCAGCTTATTTGACTGTGCAGTTATTTCCAGTATTTAAGTGATACAAACAATGTCAATAGACTTCAGGAAAAACTTAAAAAACATAACTGTTTTAAATATGACTGCTGGCTACTGAAGTCAATCTGACAAACACAGTGGGTGCTCTACTGTTGTTTCACTGTTATATGTCCATTTTTCCTAATTTTTGTTTTATTTGTAAAAGCGTTAGCAAGTAAACAAGCAATTTAATGGGAGGGTTTATGTTTAGCTTGCCTCAATCATATACTGCTGTTTCAATGCTCAAATTGCATTAGAACTGCAAGTGAAAAAATATGGGGACAGACCCTCAGCACATGATGCTACCATATGCAGCTATGACTGTTCATACCAGCTGAGGACTTGCCCTGTAAACTAGCAGGAAGAACATTTATAGTATTCAGTAAAGGAGCAATTTTAGTTTCAAAGAAGAAACTCAGCAGTGTAGATTTTGAATCTTCTGTCATCATTTCCTTTGAGTGTCAGCCCATTAATAATATATTCTTGATGATCAAAAACAGGCCATGAGGATTAATTTATTGATCTGTGTTCTTCTATGAAGAATACATCCAAGAATATTTTGAAACTGTTGTCCTTTGTCTGTAGCAACTGTTTAATGTGGGACTCAAATTAGAGTGCATGAAAGCAGTATACAGTATTTTTATTCTGTGTTTTTATAGTGCTACCCTTTTGCCTAGACATGGCTGAGCAAGATTCTCCATCATTAGTTGAAGTTGTAAAACAAGTAGCAGTACAGCAACACTTACAAGATTCAGAAATAGAAAAAAACAAAAGAGTTCTTTCTTATTTGCAGGTAATCAGATCTAATTTGAAAATGTTGGATTTACAATGTGGTACAATAGACAGGGTGGTTTTGTTATGACTAAGGGAAGCTAATATTTCTCTATTTTTCTTGGGGCATGAAAAGATGAAGATTGACCCTCTGGAGGTCGATCTTCTAGTGCTCGATTTAGTGGGTCTAATGTAGACCCGTAAATTGAATGCTGAGGGCAACCCCCACCAGTGTCCAGCAATCCTCATTCTGTGAGGAGTAAGGGAAGCTGATGGGGGCATGAGCTCCTGTTGGCTTCCCGCTGTGTGAGCATCACCATGGCTCTGCTTAAGGTAAGCTGACTCCAGCTGTCTGGTAGGTCAGAGATAGTGGCAGTTCTACTGAAAGTTCCTGTCTTGTATTCTAAGATTTGAAAAAAGTTCTATACAAACAATATAAGGTCATTCTCCTTAGTCCCAGCAAGGAATTCATCTAGAATGCCCCTCGTCATACCATTATCCAGGTCCTCCATGTAACAGTCCTGCCTAATAGTATGTCAGCAGTCTAAATTGAACATATTTATGATAGTACTCATGATTAGCTCTTCAAATTTCTGGACATGTTAATTTTTTTTGGTTTAGTCTGTGAACTGGTTGCTTTATTTACTTCAGTACTGTAAGTAGACTCAGAAACTTTACAGCAATGTGGCTTAACTTAGACCATTAATGCTTGTAGTCACACAAAGATCCCTCCAGCATTTTCACTTGTCAGTGTGCCTTAAAGAGGTATTTACTTTGGTTTTAGCCTATTGTCTCCTGATTTTACATAGTATCTGCAATAGGAAAATCAGTTGAGTTTAGCTTGGCCTAAACTCTTAGAGTAGATAAAACATTAGGGAGAATGATATGGTTCAAGTCCCTGATACATCATCTGCACATCAGACTACATCATCACTATACATTATCTGAACATGAGAAAAATAAACCCATTTGAAGCTAAGAAATGTAATGTACTTACCTTTAAGACCAATTGGATAAAGCCTCAGATATTGCATCTATCACGATGGTTTTAGGAAATGGAACTCTAGTGCTCCTCCATTCAAACAATTTTTTCAGGTGCATAAATGTATTTATTGTATATTTTGTATTAGATTAAAAGAAAGAATTCCGTTAACTAAATTTAGATGGTGTAGTTTAAATAGCTTGCTGGTATATTCCCAAATACTGGATTTTCCCCATAGAAGAATATCACAATATTTTACAGGCTGAGCTTCAAGAAATTGAAAAACAAATGGAGTCTGTTTTATTAGAAACAAAAGCAACAGAAAGACAAATTTATCAGCAAGAGGATGACACAGAAACTACAAAATGTCACTGTGAAAGTCTGGAGTCCCAAGTCAGAGACCTGAATGCTGAAAAGATAAAGCTGAAACTTGACACAGAAGCAGCTCAAGAAGCATTTGAGATGATACTTGCAAGAAATAGTGCGTATCGTGAGAAAATAAGGATTCATAAAGAGCATCTTTGGGAAGCAGAAAGCAAAATGCCAGTTATGCTAGAACTTTTTAAAAAACGAGACATGGTTAAAGTGCTACAGACAAAGAAGGAAGAATTAATGAATGATCTCCTGAATCCTGAAGGACAAGTTATAAAACAAGTACAGGTCAGATGTTTCTGTTTCTAGTTACCTTTCCTATTGTATAAAAATTATTTTACAATATTACATAATAATCTGGTCTAGCTTTGCAGTGCTTGCTACACAGTGTGAAAATGTGGAATATCTAGGTTCATTTCACAAGTTAGAATAGGTAAATGGTGATCTTAGTTTGCAGTAAAATTGTACCAGCTACTACCGCTGATGTATGTTTCCAAAATCTAGGTTCACTTAATATAAAAACATTAACTTGGCTTTGAAGAAACTATGGAGTTGTCAGCTCAAATACATCAGTTGCCTCCACTGTTATTTGTAGGATGCTGCGGGGTCTTAGATAAACCGACATATACACTTTGCAGAACACACACATATAACCTTGTAAATGTTACTGTATTACCACTTTCAGCTAACAGCATAGTGTTTAGAACTGTTAGTTGGTAACAAATTGTACTTGAGCTATGTGCCAACAGAAAGTGAAGGGGTGAGAAAAGATGACAGAAGAAAGGAAAACAAATATCAATTTTGGTATGTATAATTTCTAGCAATCATCCATGGGCGTATCTGTGTGTGTGTGTGTGATTTTAATGGTTTTTTTTTATTTTCAAAAGTTAAAACTATCCAAGCTGCAAAAATACAGATAAAAAGGAAAACTAAGTAACTGAATATTTCAAATTATCTTAGAATCACAGTGTTTAATTCTGATGTAACTTACAGTATTATAAATCAGAAGTAATTCATTGGAGAATGAAGTTATGCTATTATAACAGTAATGTGAAATTAGAATAAACCCACAACTTTCACACTGAAAAAATATCATAATATACCAAGACTTGCAACAAGATTAATTGTCAAAATCCAGCCATAACCTAAGAAGGTTATGTCTCCTAGGCTATGTCTACACAGCAGTGTTTTCGAAACTATGGCGAGCTGGAGGACTTCTTACTCTGACTCCTGTAATCCTCATGTCATGGGGAGTAAGGGAAGTTGAAGGAAGAGTGTTCTTCCTTCGACTTCCTGCTGTGTAGACAGCGCCAAAAGCTGAACAAAGTTATTTTGACTTCAGCTACGCAAATTGACATAGCTGAAGTTGCGTAGCTTAATTCGACTTTTGCGCCGCTGTGTAGATGTACCCCTACTGACTACAAAGGGGGGTTGCACCTACACGTGTAAAGGCTAAATTCAGGTTTTAGAGTTTCTTCCTTACATAAATGGCATTGAACTTTTACAATTGTTCAAATATACCATAATCTGTACTTTCCCCTTCAGCTCTATAGTGGCAAAAGTGTGTATTATGTAGGTAATCAAGGGATTATATGCACTAAAAAGTTTTGTGTAAATTTATACATCTATATTTGCATCTGGTGCTATCAAAAAAGGAGCATGAAATATATGCTGCCTTTTTGTTGCCTGTAAACTCTATTAATTGTCCTGTTTTCTTTATGTGGCATGTCATTGCATATACTTTAAATTCTGTGTGGCTGTTCTATAATAAAAAAGCCTTTGTAGAATGAAAGTTTTATTTTGTAACATCATCTTTCTTTTCTGAGAATGAACTCTATAGAGGAACCAGCTTTTTGTTTGTTTTAAATCATTTATTTATCTAGGTAACATTGCTATTTGAGCATTACCATAGACAATTACAATAGGCGAGAAATTATTTATCATATGTAAATCCATTTACAAAAGTGACCCTTCTGCCAGATGGGGTCATCAGCAACAAGGGACAGGTTCGCTATTTAGGCGGTTATTTTACAAAACAGAACTGGCTTGAGTCCCCACCCAGTAATATGGGAATATTTAACATCAACTCCGAGTGCTTTAAAGAGGTAATACTGCCACACTTGCCAGCACTGAGTCATGTAGAATGAACAAGAACTTACATTAAAAGAGAAAAGGAACCAAGCACTAGTTTGGGAAAACATCACGACCATATATAAAAGCATGTGAGCATAAATGAAACATTCAACTAAAGAGTATGCTGGGCTATGTCCTTTGCCTCACAGTCTCACATTGCAATGTGAAAGTCAGGCAAACCAGTGTTCCTATAAGAAGCTAGTCCCTTTTACTTGCACTGCACCCTACTCAGTTGCTGTCCGTGGTTAGCAAAGTCCTAGAGTTCAGAGGTATATTCACATGTGAGTTTGTGGGACCTCTGGAGCTTAGTGCGTAGGCCTCTAATTGCTTGAGTTTAAAGCCAGATGGCTCTCAGCTAAGGCCATAGAACAAACTCATTCTTTCTCTTTGCAAGTGGGCTAAGTGCCAGTACAGTAATTCCACACTTAACACGTGCCCGCTTAACACGTTTTCGCGATAGCAGGATTTTTTTTTTTAGGGAACATTTTTCAAACAACAACCGTCTCTGCAATAACACGATTTCCCCGACCGGCTGGCTGGTCACTGGCAGCTGCGTGGGGCTTCTCCTGCCTCCCTGCAAAAGTGGCAGAGGTGTGCCGCTCGCTGCGCTGTTCCCCAGCGACCTCCTCTGGCCGGATACCTCGCTCCCTCTCCTCCACCCCCTGCTTGCAGACAGCGGCTGGGTTTCCCCAGCTGGCCAGTCACCGGCAGCTGCACAGGCCTTCCTCTAC